GTTGGGGTGACCAGAAAGTGCAAAAAAGCAAATCTTCCAATTAGATATCCCGAGTGATCAACTTGGAAAAAGAAAAGCTGAAGGAAGATGCTATCTTTGGATGAAAGACTCATGTGGCCCGACCGAAGAGTCTAAGTAAGGTAGACTGCGAGGCGTTCAAAAGCACGCTTGCCCCAGGTGATGGCGAGATCCATTCTATCTCAACTTACCTATCTTCTACCATCACCGTCTATGGCTTTGAATTTTCAGTTCCACTCCGACGTTCAATTGATTTCACAATGGCTACCAGAGGAATGCGTTTGTTCGAAAACCTGACCGTGGCGATGCTTGAAGATCATCACGTCGATGGATATCACATACCTCGTGTTTGGCTGCAGTGGGAAAACGCATATTTAACCCGCCCCTACGCGATTATCCGAAACCCCCAAACCCCTGCAAGACTCATTGCCGATGGGTGCCAACTTCCCAATGGTACTTTCAATTGTCGAGAGGCGCGCAGAGACCCGAGCACCATGTTCGAGACTCCACAAACTCTTTGGAACTGCATGACTCTGGCCACCTTGTCAATTCTCACGAGATCGCATCATATTGACCCAGGAAATGACACCATCAATGAAACTCAAATGGCCAGCGCGAATAAAGTGCTCAACTTTGGCAACTTGAACACCTTCGATTTTCCTTTCGCATTATATCGCCCGTGCATCTTGGAATCATGCTCCGACCCCCGGTTTGGAGGTTGCTCCCCGAATGTCACCGAATTCCTATCACATCCAGTCAGTAACTCCAGGATTCGCAGCTTTGCCAATGTTATGAGCACAGACTACTGCGGGTTTTCTGATCCAGGAATTGACTACGACATTGCCGGACCAGGAGTAAGTTATCACTCTTCCCTCCCATTCTTTGGCTATGAGAAACTGTGAGAAGAATATACCACGGAACCTATCACTGCGATTACGCAAGTATAACGGTTCGCAGCCGGAGATGGCCAGCTGACAAGTATTACGTAGATTATGATTGCTTATTTCTTTCAATTCGGCCTCGCGTTCTTCTTCTTTTTTGCCCTGAAGACGACAACGAGCTGGGTCAAGAGTTGGGCCTACGCAGCTTTGCTTATATCCAGAGATACTGAAAAGCACTCTACTGAGCAGTCACACGCTTCGCAGCAACGCTTATCGAGTACTTCGTTTGCTAAAGCTATCCGACGTGCAATCGTCGATCTCCAAGAGACCCAGGCTGCCTTCTTAGTTACTATTGCTGTCGCAGCGATCGCCACCTTCCGGGGCAAAGAAGGAACAGGTCTCGCAAACATTCCCACCGTCGTTTCTTGGATAACGAACGATACCATTCTCAGGGGAATAGTCGCAGCAGGATCCTATCCGCTTCTTCTCGTCCAGCTCGCCCTTCATGCATCAGGAAAGCGATGGTGGTACACTCTGTTGTTCATCGTTGCTAACCTCATTTTGGTGCTTATCATGGATCTTCCAAAGGACATCGACCCGTCAACTCTACTGCCACATTTCCAGGGTGCCGCTGAGAATCTTGGAAGCTGCGGAAGCCATGCTGACCCAATGACCTTTTGTCAGAGATTTCGTCAGAGCAATACGGTACGGAATCCCATTACGCAACCACATCATTTCTTCTTCATCAACTCTAGGCACCCAGAGTTCATATATGTAATCTCGGGCTGTCTCGTGCTTGACTGGACTTCAGATACCATTATCAACCGTTGTGATGACCAGCTTCGTTCTCGTATACTCCCCAAGAAGATGGTACCTATTGTTAAGCCAATGTACAAAGTCTTTTGGGCGCTCTTGGAGCTCGCTACTCTCGCAATGTGCGTCTTATCTCTTGTGGAAATCAAGGTCTTTTGGGACGTCTTGAAAGCGATTGGAGAAGGTCCCAAAAGCGAAACCAATATCAATAATTGGGGCTTTGGTCAGTTGATCGCGGTTGCGGTCTGGTTTCCTGTCATACTGAAGCTGTGCTGTTACCTTGTCTGTAAGTGATGATGCTCATACGCTACGAAGAAGTGCATACCTGTGATGAATTGTCAAGCTGACTGGGGGCCAAGACAATGAAGAAGACAGAATGGTCAACACGAAGAAGAATCGGGTCACATCTTATGGCAGGATACAAACTCCTGCCGCCTCTCGGGAAAGTGTGGATATGCCGGCCGTCGAACTCGGATATATTGCTGGGAAAACGTGACAACGGCTTAAAGCTCTTTGGATCTTGCCCTTAGACCGATTAAATCGGAGGACTTCCTGGACCTAATTGGTGTCTTGTAAGATGATGTTCAGTCATATTTTCAATTGATAATTTGCGCCTTTGTTGCAATAGAGTTGCATCCTGGATCTCCACAAGGTTCCTAGGAGGGAAGAATGGTTGATCAGGCGCTCTCCGCGGCATCATTGATTAATACATAACCCCGCATAGCTGCACAGACTAGGCCGGGGATGTGGCACATGCCGACCAGTCTGGGGGGTCAGGATGACCTTGGCTTGGCGCGAGTAGAGCGCCCGCTACAGGCGTCCGACCCACTGCGTTGTGCCAAGGCCCAAAATACCTCATTGCAGGCCGTCTGAACTAAGATCTCACGCGCTGAATCTATCCGGAGCCGGGTTGCCTCCCCTTTCACCAACCAACGGCGCCTACACCGCCCGCACCGCATACCAAGTATGGATATCTCGAGCCGCAAGTACCGCGAAGGAGGCGATGCACGTGCTGCCCCCAGATTTGGTGAAGTGACACCGTCATTTCTCGTCCCATGCCCCCTCCTGTGATCCAAGTGCCTATTGTTGGTTGTCTGTCAGGCGGTGTCGATTTGTGTCCTCTTTTCTTTCCCCTTGTTTTCCCCGCGTGAGTGTGTGATTTTCCCGTTTGCGTGAGCAGAGGAGCGAAGATTCAGCCTGCTTTTTCCTACGTTTGTTTGCCAACATCGAACCTCGACAGCCGGACCCTAGACCGTGAGGCATTTTCATTTCATGTTCCCGCGACCCGAGCACCCCGATCCCGTTGTCCATCCTAAGGCCTTCCGACCCAGACGTGAGCCGATCCGCACTGTTGGCAGAAGACATGGACTGGTCCGCCGTAACGAACTTCAACGTCGTCATCAGCGTTCTCGGCGGCTGGCTCGTTCTCTTCGGCACCTTCTCCTACCTCATCAAGGAGACATGTTACCTGTCTGAAGCCCGTAAGTCGAAGATATATTTCGCACCTTCTGTGGTCATCTCTTCTCATGCGGCAACAAATCGGAGATTAAAGATCCATGAGCTAACCCGCAACTCAAGTCGTTTCCCTCCTCGGAGGTGTCGCCTTCACTCATGTCGCCAAATGGATCAAGCCCGGCGAATACGCCGTGTCCGAAGATGCCGTCGCCTCCGTCACCCTCGACTTCAGCCGCCTCGTCCTCGGTGTCCAGCTCGTCCTCGCCGGCGTGCAACTCCCCAGTCGCTACCTCCGCAAGGAGTGGAAGTCTCTCTCACTGCTTCTCGGCCCTGGTATGATCGGTATGTGGGCCTTCACGAGTGCCATCGTCTGGCTGCTCGTCCCGGACCTGCCCCTCGTCCACGCCCTCGCCATCGCAGCGTGCGTCACCCCAACTGACCCAGTCCTCTCCACCACCATCGTAAAGGGACGCTTCGCCGATGAGAACGTCCCGGAGGACCTGCAGCAGATCATCGTCGCCGAGTCCGGAGCCAACGACGGCCTCGGGTACCCCTTCCTCTTCCTGGCGCTGTACCTCATCAAGTACACCGAAAGCGACGGCAACCCCGTATCGGGCGAGGGCGGCTTCGCCGCCGCGATCCGCCTCTTCTTCGGCCAGACCTGCATCTACGTCGTGCTGATGAGCGTCTTCTACGGCTGGGTCGTCGGCTGGCTCGCGCAGAAGCTGCTCCACTGGGCCGAGCGCTACAAGTACGTCGAGCGCGAGAGCTTCCTGCTCTTCCCCATCGGCATGGCCATCTTCATCCTCGGCACCTGCGGCATGGTCGGCAGCGACGACGTGCTGGCGTGCTTCATCGCCGGCAACGCCTTCACGTGGAACGACTGGTTCCGCCTCGAGACGCTCAACGACCCCATCCAGCCCGCCGTGGACATGATGCTCAACATGGCCATCTTCATGTGGCTCGGCGCCGTGTGTCCCTGGGAGAGCTTCTGGACGTCTGAGCTGATCGGCCCGGGCCGTCTCGTCGCGCTGGGTGTTCTGGTTTTGTTGCTCAGGCGGTTGCCTGTCATCTTGGGCCTGCACCGCTACATCCGCCAGATCCGTGGCCCCGGGCAAGCTCTGTTCGTTGGGTATTTCGGCCCGATCGGCATCTCTGCCATCTTCTATCTGTACGTCGGTCTCGAGTTCCTTGAGACGTTGACGGATGAGGATGGTCAGCGGGCGGATGCGAAGAAGCTCGGCGACACCATGTTGATCGTCATCTGGTTTTTGATCATTTGCAGCGTGGTAAGTTTTCCCCCGTGCGCTGGCCTGACGGTATGTTCTGACGTCTTCAAGGTTATCCATGGCGTTAGCGTGCCCATTGGTAAAGCCGGAACGACTCTATATGCCCGACTTCGCCAAGGCCGCATCGCTCTGCCTACGTGATGACGATACATATTCCCAACGACATTTTGCATGAGTTCTCGTGTGACACGCTATCTTTCTTGCATTTTTATCATCTTTTATCCATCTGGCATTTCATCATGTGCGGGGTTCAGCACTCTGGGACTGGGGCATGTATTCATTGATCTGAGCAATTGGTCCGGCTGCAACGCATTGTTTTATTTGTATCTAGCGAACATCGTTCTTTGCGGCTTGTCTCTTTCGCTGATTCTGGATGATATTCCCCAATACATATTCTGTCGTTTTGGTCAACCTGCATACTGTCTTCGCATCTTCATCATTATCATCATACGAGGAGGTTCTCAGCTATGATTTGATTCATGTAAAGTCATTGATACTATAGGTCCATGTTCTAATCATAAGTCATCTTTCTGGTGAAGTCGCTCTATCTCTCAATCTCAATTGTCCTGCTCCTCCGAATCTGCTGGTCCTCTTCCTCGTCTCGGTGCAGCTGACGACCTGGGAGCCGCACTGCATGGTCAAGTGCAACCGGCAGCCCTCGATGCCTTCCACGAAGCATGACAAGACACAATATGAGCTTGCTGCCTGTGTGCCATGCGCCGCAAAAGCTGAAGGCATCGGTCGGGAGCCCCACCGAAATTCCGACGCAGCCATAGGCCGACACGACTTCGAAGATGATGTTGAAAACAGAGAACGTGACAGGATCCTTGATGAACTTGGATGTCTCAATAATTGTGATGATCAAGGTCGCCAGGACCAACCACCAAAGGTCGTGTGCGAGCTGTCCACGGACTTGCTGACTGATGAAACTGATGCGACTTTCTGGCTGGTCAGGTCCTGGGATGCCAGATCCCCCAGGTTTCGGAGGCGCAACACCAACACCATGGAAACTCATAAAGGTGCTCCTGAACGCACGTCGCGCGTCAGAGACCGGCCCAGAGCGACTTAGACGGCGAGCCAAAACTGAAGGACGGGCAGATGCTGCACCAAAGCTAGTGGTACGGGCTAAAGTTGGTGGCCGGCTTCCTAAAGGAAGCAGCGACATACCTGCCTCTGGGTCGGGCTCTGAAGTCGATTCCAAATCGTCCCTGTAGATGCCGAGTGACCGCTCTTCGTATACATTAGAGTGTCGCATGGTAATGACCACGGGATATACGGAAATGTACATCATGATGACATAGAGTAGCTGGAGTCCAATGAAGAGCCCCGAGATGGGTACAACATAGAAGCCACCAGACCGCACAGCTGAAAGGTAGGTTAGTACATGTCTCTCGACACCTTTGATGAAGCTTTCTGGAGAAGTTCGAGCTTACCTAGGGCTTGGAACAAGCCATCGAGGATACGAGAACCAGTTGAGATCTTCTCGATGACTGAATTTCCAATATTGAGAAGCTCGAAAGCTACCCAGTCCACGGAATTAAGGCATAAAAGCATAAAGAATAGCCACCAAGACGCTCTGGAAGGGAAGAGGTTTGTATAAACTCGACGAGGATATTTTAGGATGAATTCCAAAGTGGCCTTAAGGTCAATGAAGGCGTCTTGCGGCGTCGCAAGATTGAGGATTCGAAGCGAACTCCAGATGATAAGACGGAGGAACAGTGGGTATGCGGTATTTCCTGCTAGAATCAAGAGACCCATTGTAATCAAGACATAGTATGCATCTTGAAAGGGTATCATGTTGGCGTCCAGCAGTGACATGCCCGAGTTGTTGAAGGCCGAGACGGCGTTGAAAATGCCAAGCCACCATGGGTTTATTCCATTGGCCCTTGCCGTATTTGGCATGTAATTGTTCATCCAGGCTCCGAGGGCGAGTGATGTCAAAAACTGCCACATGAAGAAATAGGCAGGCACGATGGTGGCAAGAACCTTGAGAGCACGGTACTCGCAGCCGCCGAGATGATCACGCTCTGCGCTGCTGAGGTCGTGGAATTGACCGTTGCGACTAGCGGAACGGTGCTTCAAGAAGTGCCGAGCGTCGAGGTCGATATCGGCCGAGTCTGTGGGAGCCTTGGCAGATCTCCTTGATGAAAGGGCCACTCCATCGCCGTGCACAGAGACACCAGTCGAGGTGGCCTGCGTGGCATTTGGGTGTGGTGTGTCGTCGAACGTAATATGACCTGGGTTTTGGGAGTCTGCAACATCTTCAATATCCTTGGGCGTGTTCTTGTCTCTCGTGTTGACGTCTGGCGAAGACATGGCCCGTCGGAACTGCGGCGACGGACCTTCGGTGGCGTCTGAGTCCTGGTAATCCGGAGGAGGGTGCGTCTCTGGAATTCGGCTTTCAGTCCCTTTGAAAGCCTGATCTGGAGGCGGCACAGTCTGGGCCTTTCCGAAAGAAAGTGCGAGCTGAAGCTTTGGCAGAGTCAATGGAAGCCGTGGCAATGCCAGCGATATCGTGCTGCCTTGGCGGCTGAGTTTGCGGGCACGCTCTGCTCGGACGATTTCATCGAAGCGTTTCTCGAAAACATGTTTGCGTGCCAAGATTGTCCAAATGGAAACCCATATCGTGCTTCCGAGTAGCAGCAGAAGGAACAGGATTGTTTGTTGCCACGTCGTCAATTGGCTGAGGTTGACGGTGTTGAGGCCAGCTTCGGTCATGGCAGATACCACGAGGAAGAGGCTGTCGGTGTAGCTCACCTTGAACTCGGCATCGGATGAGGCCCAGAAGATGACCGACGACAAAAGACAGACGATAATGAAATATGCATAGTGGAGAGTGATGAAGTTGAGCGGCGGGAGGTATCTGCTTAGGGGGTTGCGTGCGAGCAAGCGCTTGGCGGCGGCAACGGTGCCCATGAGACGCTGCTCGACGGAGATGCAATGGGGTTGAGAGACTGAGGATAAAGCAGGTTGTCTGAGACCCTAGGAAAAGACGAGGTTGCGCTGCATGTCGATGAGATCTGACCAGCCAGTCTTGTTGATGCGCTGGCACTGGATGCAGACGCGACAGGACACCGGACGGTCAGATGACGTCTGCCAGTAGGCTGTCTCAGGCCCAGTGGGCGATACGTACCCCAAAGGCATTGATAAACAAGGGGCAAGAGCCGGCCTTCCCTCACTAAACTTGGGACGAGCTTGCCTCGAACCAGTTTAGAAAGGCTAAAAACGGGCAGGTGAGAGGCAATTAGCAGCAGCACCTTATGGCTATCTTCGTGGAGGTGGCTGTGCGCTGGCGCTGACTCGATGGCTCTTTTAGAGGCATGCGCCCGGTTACAATCAATATGCGCTAATCAGCCTGTTGATTGTGGGATGATGGTTTACAACCGCCGATCAAACATCGCGGTGATATAATTCGAAGGCAATTGCTTAGAATGAAAGTCTCTTGTGGTTGAAGGTTCTGAGTGCATCAAAGCATTCAGCAGAGCAGCATCACGCAAATTGGTATCCTTGGGTAGATCACCTAGAATCTTACGTCGGGTTTTCGTTTAGCTGTAGTGGAAAAAGAGAGTGACACAATTGAAGCCTGAAGGTGACGAAAGAACTACAACATGTTGCTAATCAACCGCCAGGGAGACTTTTTGAAGTTTCAGGTATTCCATGTTATCATCAACTCACTTGGAAAAGGTGGTGATAACGATACTTAAGCTGTATGATGGATCTTGCGACTTGTGAGCTCAAGCACATCCAGAGCTACAGCTTCAGAGTAATGTTAGCTGCAATTGACGATCAATTTCTAGCCATCGAGATATGCAATCTCATTCCATTGGGTGCGAAAATATGTTTTCGTAGGCAGGCATCATAGAACGATCACTTACGAACAGTCAAAGTTTTCCATACACCGGGCCATTGCCCGGGGCCGGCTCCGGTGTTAAATGAAGTTCAGGAGGGCCGAACGGGATCGGCAGTGGGACCTTACCCCGGCCCACCTCCTAAACCTTGCCTTCAGCTGACACACCCCTTAAATCTCGGATGCGATAGACTTTCACGGCCTAGTAGGGAAACAATCAAAATTCCCATGGTTTTCTTCAACTGAGATGCGAAAACCATCCGGTACTCTGCTTCACCATGGAAATTGTCTGCCGACCGAGCAAGGCGGGAAAAGTCCCGGGCGGGGCGGTTACGACATCTCCATCATTTCTCATTTTTCGAGAAACAGCGTGGAATTAGATGTCCGAAAGGGATGAGGGTAGATAAAGGTCTTCTGTTTTCGTCTTCCATTTTGGTAATGAGCGACCTGCCACCACAAGTCGTTCAGGTCGTTGAACCCCACAGTTTACCCCTGTCATCCGGCAAGATGAGGTTCAACATTCACTTCACTTTCCTTTCTTGGGCCCTCGCCCTGGCCTCGCTGGCGAGTGCATGTGTCACTCGCGATGTCAATGCTCAGAAAGCCTTCGCTCACCCGGGTCTCCTCCACACCGCCAAGGACTTTGAACGCATCAACGGCTTCCTGAAAGCCAACCGCGCGCCATGGACAACCGGCTGGGACAAGCTCGCCGTCCGCGCCGTCGCCGATTACACCCCTCGACCGGTGGAGACGCTCTGCCGCGGCTCTGGCAGCGACTGCACGGAGAACTATTCTCTTCTCTTCCGCGATGCGGCCACCGCTTACGCCAATGCCGTCCACTGGAAGATCAGCGGCAACGAGACTCACGCGGAGGCAGCTGGTCGTATCCTTGACGCCTGGAGCAGCACTTTGCTCCGCATCTGGGGCTCCTCGGATAAGTTCCTCGCCAGCGGCATCTACGGTTACCAACTGGCCAACGCGGGGGAGCTTCTCCGCGACTGGAGCGGATGGAAAGGCTTGGATGCTCTGTCTAGCATGTTGACTAGCGTCTTCTACCCCATGAACCACGACTTCTTCGTCAGACACAACGGCGCCGCGATCGATCACTACTGGGCGAACTGGGACTTGGCCAACATGTGTACCATGCAGGCCATCGGAATCCTCTCGGACAACGCCACTATGTACAACGAGGCGGTCGACTACTTCAAGAACGGGGCTGGCAACGGCCAGATCGAGAACGCTATCTGGAAGATTCACCTGGAAGCTGGCTCCAAGAAGCCCTTGGGTCAGGGACAGGAAGCCGGCAGAGACCAGGGACACGCTCTGCTCGACTTCGCGTTCCTTGGCGTTTTTGCCCAGCAGTCGTACAACCAGGGAGATGACTTATTCGGATACCTCGACAACAGAATTCTGGCAGGGTAGGTGTTGACGTTGGGATCGAAGTTAACATTGGCTAACATGATCTTAGTGCGGAATATGTGGCTAAGTACAACCTAGGATATGATGTCCCATTCGCAAATTTCACAAACAGCCACGGGACGGCTACGGTCATTAGCGAAGCCGGCCGCGGCGGTCTACGACCCATCTGGGAGCTCATCTATGCCCATTACGACTCTATCAAAGGCTTGAACGCCTCGTGGAGTGGACAGATGCGCGACCTCGTCAACAAGGACGCCGGTGGTGCTGAGGGTGGCGGTGGTGACTATGGTCCGAACAGCGGTGGTTATGATCAACTTGGATTCGGAACTCTCCTCTACAGACGCGAGTAGGAACGAACGTTGTTCTTGTGGCACATGAGTTGGCTGTGGACGGTTTCTTTTCTATTCACTCATTCACATCACTTTCTTGACCTTATTCCACGTCTCATAGTTGGGTTATCAGGAGTGCACGCCTGTTCCCATTCGTACATATTCAATCAACAAACCTTGCAAGTATGTTGAACATAATCGGACAGTGTTGTCTTCAGCGAACATTAAACAATCTGCTGGGAACAAGCCGCGTGACTATGGCTAGTGAAAGTTTCATGCATAACTTTCCAACCAGAACCTCATGATTTCTGAATCGATGAAGTTATAAGCTCCATGGGACACGAATGGAAGAAGCAGCTTGTTTTTTCTCCGGTAAGGTACCAACAATCATGCAGTTCTTATCTCATATGTACATCTTGGAATCTTTTCAGTAAGCCCAGATGAGGCCGCCCCAGCTCGGATGGTCAACTCTGCTCAAAGGCCCCTCATGTCCTGCAGTCTGTTTCGCCTTCGTCGTCCACGGGGCCTTCAGTCCTCTCTTCACCACGTACTGGTAATAGACAATGTCCCACATTGGGTTGTCCGCAGTGACACCCCGCTTCTCCTGCGAGATGGCAGCCCAAGGCCCGCCGACGAGGACCGCCTCGCAGCGGAACCACTTTGGGTCGTACTCCACCGTTTCATTTAAGTTGAACTTTGCCGTGTACTCGGCTCCTTTGAGGATCAGGTTGTCACCTTGACTGTACAAGTCCGACCCCTGACTTTGCGCAACTCGGGCAGCTGTGGCAGCCCAACCAATGCCTGTCATGGTGTGGCCTAGGACATGTCAGTTATTCAAATCGTCCTGAACGTGATGTCTGGGGCACGTGCTCTGATCACGACCGGACTCGGATGATTGTCCGGTCTTCTGGTCGAACATGGAGTACAAGCCCGCGCAAGGGTTGTTCAGGTACTCATTGATGGCATAGTTGTAGAGCGTCACGTCGTCCAGGTACACTGCGAAGCTCAGCAGAGCCTTGATACTCGCCATCCCATAGTTAGCCTGCCCAATAGCGACAGATTGCCGCGAGAAGAGCCAGTACAACTGGATGCTGAACCCCGAGCCGCCTTGCCACTTAGCCCCGGCCTCAGTCCAGTTGCCTTCCCAACGCATAATCTCCGCCGCATTCACGAACAGGTCGCCCTCTAAACCGATGAGCAGAGATCGATCCGTACCAATAATATCGACAAGCGTAGAGCCCCAGCTGTCTAGGATCGTGGTGCTCCGGTTCCAGTGCGCCTCGTCGCGGGTGATGTACCACATCAGCGCATTCTGCCATGCCGCACGAGAGTCAGAAGTGAAGCTGGTGTGATTGCTTATGCTTCCACGTGAGAGCACCGCCTTGGGTCCTTTCATCTGGTAGGAGGCCTGGCTGTAGCTGTCGTTGCTGAATACATCGAAGGTGGACTTCCATGGGTCTTTGCCCTCAAGTACACCATTCCGGATACGTTCGAGGTCTTCATGGGTATGCCAGATTCCGGGGTGCACAAAGTCGCTGGGGCGGCTCTTGAGAAACTTGGAGATGTCACCTGCGGGTGACGGAGTGAGCGGGTAGACTGGCCCGAATGCTCCTGGTATGTCGGCCACTGTTGCGACGCATGGCGGGGTCAGGAGGCCTGCCAGAGACAAGGTGATGAAAGATATCAACTTTGGTTTCATCGTGTCAGCATTGAGGGCACGTAACAATACAGTATTATCTGAGCAGTTACCTTCATCTCAGTCGTAGCAATGCAACAATGGCAAGAGGATCAAGCCGTGAATGGTGGAAAATCAGAGGGAAAGCTTGAGAGACAAGCCGGAGCGTGACATATCACTTTATTAACCGGCCAAAAGGTCCCAAACAGGCCTTCAAGACACTCGCTCGGATCAAAGCGGCCAGTTGAAGCCATGATCGGAGCCGGGATAGGTAGCGGGCCGAAAGAAACGTGTGACGCCAATTTCAGCAGTCGTGGTGTGTAGGATCGGCATCAACGCCGAGAAAGGGAGACATCAAATCGCGGGGAAGTTTGCGGAGAAGCTTGTTCATCCTTCAGTGATCAGAGGCGACCGCAACAGTGGGGGGTTACAACACCAGCGCCAAATTTGGACGAGCTGACGGGGAACCGCTGTAATTTTAGGCGGAACATCTCCCGGGAAATGGTGAGCCAAAAGCCCATTGGGCTCAGAGATTTGAATTATGAAAACCGAATTGGTGGGCTCTCACGCCCGAGATGTACTGCGCATCGTCCGTGAGCCCATAGAAAACGGATGATGGCTAGTGAAGACGAAGATAGTAAAGGCGGTTTTCTTCAACATGGGAAGCAAAAAGCCAGACACAGATTTGGTGTGCAGAGGGGAATGGAACGATGACTCATGACGTGGTCGTGTGGGGCTCGGCGGTAAGCATACATGAATATGATTAGTGCTTGTCGGGGCATGAACCACCCGGTTGTGTAGTGTAGTGGTTATCACTCCGGATTTTGATCGTATCAAATCTTCCGGCAACCCCGGTTCGAACCCGGGCTCGACCTCACTTTTTGATGTTTTGTTTAGACATTCAGTCAAGGTGCGATTTTGCAATTGCTGCTTTTGATTCTGAAGCCGTTTTTGAGATTCTGATGTTACTGCCCGGCCCTCCGACGTATAGGCAACTTAAATATGGACAGAAATAGGGAGGACCTTAACATAGGTAGTAAGTGGTCCGCGGTCTTCCGTCATCTCAGTTAAATATTGGCTCAGCTGTTCTAACACAATCTATGCGTCTTCAACTCCGGAGAGAGTTGGGATACAGTAAAACTATTCACACTATCAAACTGGAACGGATACTTGCAACGCGAGCCACGCCCGGAGTTCATCACCGTGCTGTCTCCTCCAAGTTTAATGACCCGTAACTCTCAACAAGATGTGTCAGAATGTGATCGTCCACTTCCTCCTGCGTCTTGACAATGCTGACTGGCCAGTGACTGCGCACCGCCTGCACCATGTCGTGTTTCTCCATCTCCTGGTCGTCGTCAAAAGTCATCGAACTTCTCAAAAGGACCACCTCTTGCGGGCGCATCCGTCCTCTGATAACTCGAAACAGTGCTTCAGCCAAGTAGTGATTCCGGCGCTGGTTCTGCAACCCTTTTGCAACTAGAATAAGCGTAGACCGCAGGATTTCGATCTGATGTTCAGACTTCTCTTCCAATATCGCATTGATGCAGTCGTATCCGGTGAGCATGAGGGGTATCACGAGAAACAGGTCCATAGCTTCGTAGCCATGCCGAAGATAGTAGAGGCGGATCAAGGTTTGGAGATATTTCTTTGCATCAGCAACGACCTTTTGCAATGTCGCGTCGCGACCTTTGCTGGCGGCAAGCAAGGGTTCGTAGATCATAAGTAGCAAATGGTAGTAGTATATGCTGCGATGAACAATTATTAGAATATCCGTTTTTTTGTTTTTTTTTGTCCATAGATGACGAGGGGTGGCAGAGAAGTAGCGTTGCCTCCGGGCTTGACACTTACTGCAGTTGAAAGTGACCTGGAAGTGCGATCGTCTTGGGCTGAAGTGGCTCTGGCAAGTCACTATACCACCTTCGCAATTTCTCATGAAGGCTATTGGCTTTATCGAGACTAATAACTCCATTCGGAGAAAATGCTGCGTCGCAGTACTCATTCATGATGACTCTAAACTTGGCCCTCGTTCGAAAGATGTGACCAAAGTGAGTTGGCTGAAGGCCTGGAACCAATGAGTATTGGAGCCAGATCTCGCCATACCACCCGCCCTCTCTTGTCGGATCGGGCAATGGCCAGTCCGGAGGCTCTTTGACTAAAGGCGGTATCATGAAGGAAAATGCAACCAGCCTGTAACATTTAGATGCTATCACGTAACCTTGGGTTAGTGCACTTACGTTTCCCAGTTGTAGAGAGCCCAGGCGGTGTATGCCCAGCCTTTTCGTTTCGAGTCATTATTTCCACATGAGCTTTTAGAAAAGAGACGCAATTTACGTGCCAAATTAACGCCGTGAATTCTGTACGGCTGGCCAATCTCATCCAGACCGCACAGATTGTGGAAAACGCTGAAGAGGATGCCAGCTTGTATAGTAGTGACCCGCGGCTCGGAGGTCTGCAGTTCCCAGAGACGTTTGGCTTCTGCAAGGAAGCGGTAACCGAGCGTATCGGGGTTCCAATACTCGACGCGATTTGAAAACTGAGGATAGCAGACCTATGCCTAGTTAGTTGAGTCGGCTTTGGGGGCATGATTAACATACACAGGCATATGCAAGCGTTATATTGACAAGTAGTGAAGAGCAAAAGTCTTGCTTCTGTGCGACCAAGTCTTCGAGGAACAGGTCTTTCTGGAACGCCGCAGAAAATTGATATTCGCATCTGAACAAGGCCCTGAGGAGGTCTCGCATAAGTGAATCGTCATCGCACACATTAGTCCACCATGATACCTTGGCGTCGGACAAGCGAGGCTCGACAACTTGTGCTGCGTGAAAGGGTTTGGTGTACACACTTTGGAGTTCCTGCGATCCACTGGCGGTGGCATGCGAAGGTCTCCCTTGCCCGTGTGCAGAGTACAGTGATGCCGCTTCGTAGATGAACGAATTCAAATAAGGATTGTTTTGGATGTAAATCTCAGGCATCTCGGAACGGTAGGGGAAGTCATATCGTAGTCGCGTCTCGGGAGTAACAGCCATCTGGAGCAACAGATCTCCAGCCTCAACATGGTTCACGATGGTCGTAGCATCGGCCCCGGACCTGATCCTCTGGAATACATCCTGGGCAGCCTCTTCGGGCAAGTTCTTCAGTAGCGCTAAAACTTGCTCGTGGATCGTCGCTCGGCCTTGCACTTCATTGTGTTTCCGATTAGTGGCCTGCTGTCGAGATTCACCAGGTCGCGTGGTGTATTCGCAGGAGCTGCGCCGGTAAAGACACACGCTGCACGTTGGCCTCTCTCCAGTACACTACAGGTTAGATGAGCATGCCGTCGCACTTCTCAGGTTGTATATAGTTCAGAGACAACGTACCCTTGACTTGCGCTTACGGCATGCGTTGCAAGCAGCTTGCACCGGCCTAGGTCTTTTCTTTGGGAGGTTATCGAATTTTACTGGTTCAGTACCGCTGTCTTGCGCCGGCAGCAGCGGGCGCAAGGGCTGCATGTTCTTCTTCATCGGTTGCATGTGTTGTTGTTCAATCATACTGCCAAAGCTACTGTCGCTGGGCTTGAAGTATATTCTGTAAACACTGTCGTGCCGCCAGGAAATGAGTACGCAGCCTGGGCGAACGGCACGGAGCCACGTGACTGTTGGAGGAGGATTGGTTTGCGGCGTCGGAGCTTGCCCCGTAAAGACCAAAACATGAGAGACTCGTGCAGGATGATGTCAGCAATTTGTCATAATGACTCTCATTCTCTCATCATAAACATCGTATTACGGCAAAGACCAACCAACAAGAGTGAAGGATAAGTGGTGAAACTCACAGAATAATATTCACTGGTGCTTTTTTTTACTATGGAAGCTGCATTTTCACCGGTAATTCAGAGACCTTCTTTGCGCTCACATGAAGCTAGCCCCCTAACAGCCGTAGCGCCGCATGCAGGCCGAGCGCGACGACCAGACCCCAAAATAAGAGAGCTGCTTGCCGAGGGCCCACTGCAACTGTCCTCCCGTTGTTGCAATTGAACCCCTGTGGCCAATCGTTGCCAGGTTTGTACGACTTCCCGTCCTCATCATCCCCATCTTCACCAACCCCAGAAACCTGCCCAGGACGACACCCTGAGCCTGAGCCCGAGCCAGAGTTAGAGTCAGATCCGCCCGGAGCTTGAGCACCTGGGCCTGATTCGCAATCGCCTGTTGGCGGGACCGCGTTGGAGCTGACAAGCTCGACGTTGCATCCGGGATTTGGGATCATCACGTCTGCGTTGTCGACGGTTCTGCACCCATTGCCGACATTGGCGCGAAAGATGTCTGGTTGGGAGCCAAAGTTGTTGCCGCTGCCGCCGTTCCCAATTCTGATGACAGCACAGTTCATGTACATCTCCCTGTTGCCCAGATTGTTGAACCACGACCAGGCCAAGATGGCTTGGTCGGATGAGGGAGTATCGTCAGGCAGAGTGAACGAGATCTGGTAGCCATCCCCGGCAGGGCAGCCGCCAATGACGCTTCGAAGGACTTTGAAGGTGTTTCCGCCATCCACAGACATAGAAACCTGGCATGAACCGCCGTTGTGGGTGGTATGGCCTGAAAGAGTGATCGTGTGATCCTCGCCAGCGTTCCAGGTAGCGACGGGATCTGCTTCTGAGGTGCCCAGCACGCTCAAGTGGCCCTTACAAGGGTAATCGGATCCGCTCGATGATAGAGGGTTTGCGTAGCTGTAGTCGACATTTCCTTCGACGGTGTTTGGGTTCATCTTGGCTTTCAAGGGCCGTGGATCAGACATCATCATGTGCGCCGAAGAGAGGTGTGCGAATGTTGAGACAACCACAACAGCCGCCCAGGATCCGAAACGCATGACTGGTTGATTTCAATAGTTATGTAACAATCGATGGTGGACTTGTTGGCATTGATGTTGCTGTTTTCTTGTGTTGCATTGCGAAATATTGAGGGTGAAAGCCTCAGGGAATGGATCATGTTCACGGTTCACTCGTTAAATAGTCAAGGTTTGGCAACTGCGTGAAGCAGTGAATCATCTCTCGGAATGTGAGCCGTGGAAGCGGCGCAATTTCAGGTGAATGTTTCTGTTACCTGGCACCGACAATTGATTAGTTATTTTTATCCACCGAGTCCCCAAATGATCATGTCCTCGCCGCCCATGCGATTAATGCAGCGCCAACACCACTGCCATCTCTTGCCATGCCGATCTTGATACGCTTCTCGCCTTCACCGCCGATCTCAGGTACTTCCCGCAGAGCTTCTCTGATGTTTTCCTCGAAGTTTGGGAAATGCTCGATTAGAGAACCATCAACGCCAATGTCAATGACGTCTTCTTCCGCATCGTGTGAGACCGCACCTTCTCCATGCTCTGACTCCCGGAACGTCGGTGATGAATCTTTGGCTGGAAACTTGATATGAACTTTGATGCGTAACCACTTGGCCAGCACCTTCCAAGCACTTCTCATGCCGTAGAACAAAGGGGCCAGAATATGAATGCCCATGCCCCACGGTGCTGCAGTTGGTTTCACAGTCGCCTTCGAGACGAGCATTCCGGACTGCAGCGCAACACCCGCAATGGCAACCGATGACAGTCTCGCGGCGCGAAGTCCAATTGCCTCGGAGAGGATACTGATAGCTCGTGCATCTGACTTCGATACATTTGTGGCGCAAAGGATTGCCGAGATCTGTTCACGTGCATTCTCCAAGTTTTCGGTTGAGTCCTTCACAACTGAAGATAGCAACGAGCTGTCGATACTGTCGGCAATATGAACAGCGGATTCAGGCGGTACTTCCATGTCGAAGGCATCTTTATGTGAACTGAGAAGGTGGACCAGTATCCGCCTCAGCAGCTCGCCGAGATACATGCCCGAGATGCGTTTCTCGAAATGTTGATCGTCTGGGTTGACTGATTCTTGGTCAAGCTCTCGGTCGAATCTCGTTGTCGGCAGCACTTCCAGCTTGTTGTCGAATCCACCCCACTCCGTATTCAGAGCCATCATTGCGTCAGGCTCGTACTTCGAGGTTCCTTGGCGAGAATGGAGCTTCGTAATCCGAGAGAGGCGTTCCATGTACGCGCCATTTGTGCCCGTTCCAAAGATGGCGCCGACAACGGTACTTGACCTCCCCGGAGAGGTGTAAGCACGCGCTGCCAATGTTCCGACAGTGTCGTTTGCAAGCGCAGTTACCAGCAATGGAAGTTCTTGCTCGTCAAGTGCTTCTTGGAGCATGGCACAGGGATCCCGCCCAACAGCATCAGGTATGTCGAAAGACTTTGTCCAGTACAGCAACTCGCCTTTATTGAGTGCGTGCTGGTCGAAAGTGAAGCTGAAAGTAAATCCCAGACTCTTGGAATGCGAGCGTCTCAGCTCATCCGTGAGGCCACCGTCTTTCACGAGAGTTTCCCAACTCTCGAGGTCCGATACATGATACTTCTCCATAAAAGCTTTAGTTTGCAGCGCTATGAATCTGAACAGATCCTTATATGTTGGCGCCAGCATTAGATGACGCGGGATAGTCACCTTTGACTGGGTGAGAGAGTAAGTTGAGTCTCCATGCAACTCAACCGAACATACTCTCAAGTTGGTCCCTCCCAAGTCGATGGCCAAGCAGACGCCCTTTTCAGAGCCATTTGGTAGTTTGGTGACATATGATGGAATCTGGCACATTGATGTGCCGTCCTTCTGAAGGCCTTCATCTGTTTCGTGTGAATTGGTGTCGCTCGAGTAATGACCAGTCCTGGCCGTGGGTGGTTGATATGATGGACTTACTAAGCTGCTTCAAGAAGTGGGTAGTTGCACGGCGAACATCTTCCGCAGGGAACTTGAATTCTTTGGCGATTTTTTGAGCCTCAGATATCAAATCCGATCTCCGGGCCTCCTTGAGGCTGTTGGAAGACATTGGAGCACCAGCACCCACCAAAAGATCTTCGATAACGAGTGTGTCGGGACAGAAGCCAGGTTCATGGGTACCGCATCCCAACATTCAGCAGACTACCCGATCAAGTATGTAACTAGGGACGCCAAAAACTGGCGTACTCGCCAGATAATCAGTAAGTCGCATGCAGATTCGGAATCCCGTCTTTCCCGTCATAATCATCTTGTTCAACATGGCCGTCGGGTGGCTGAAGGATCACGACCCGGCAAACCCGGACCGGGTGGAACCGGTGGATCGGTCAAATTTCCCCCTCACTTCCCTCCAATGACAACTGTGTCGCCTATCTGGGGCCTAGTCCAGGCTCGCTGAACATCGCTAGCGTCCAGCTTCCTCATAAAGTCCGGCCACCCCGGCTCAACCGGTGAACCAGAGTCTCAACCCCCGATCCCACATCACCTGTTTCACCGGTCCTCCGCTGAAAACCAGCACAACAGTTGATTGCAACCGGGCAGAGCACTCTGCAAACACCGGAAGCTTTGAGCACGCAAAGTGGATCTCCTTTGAGAAACGTTCCGAAAAGCTTGTCACTTGTTAACCATGTCTCTGCAACATGCGAGAGACGGAGCTTCGGTGGATGGGCCTGACGATGCGGGCCCGTCCAAGGCCCGGAAGGCATGCGGTAAGCTCACAGGTATGCGTCTCATGCGTGGCTGTGGAGGCTGACCACTGCCTGCGCAGTCAATTGCAGAAGACAGAAGATGAAGTGCAGACTGGACAACGGGTCGACATGTCGGAGATGTTTACGCGCCGGTGTCCCATGCGTATTTGTACCCAGAGCCAACGTATGTGTTCTCGTTCCTGATCCTTCGTGATCATTTCTGACGCGGGATTTGCTTAGTCCGCGTCCCATCGTGAAAGTCTGTCGTTGGCTTCAATTCTACACAGTAATGAGCAAAGTTCTTCTTTCAATAAATCTGTGCTCTTGAGATTGAAGCGCCTTGAGGAACACTGCGGACTGTCTGGCCTTGGCAGTCTTGAAGAGGTGGAGTCGCCTGCTTCGCCAAACTTGCCTGATGTTGAGCTCGAAAGTCCCGGGGATGCGGCACTCAGCGCTCTGTGGAATGCTATGGCGGTCCTTCGAAGGACATGCCCCTCAAAAGTCAGCTCAAATATTTGGGAGAAACACATGATCAAGAGATTATGGCTTTCGTGAGTACTTCTTTCCTTCGGCAAGACCTGTCTGGCTGATTTGACGTAGATTCCATGAGAGCATGCCTGGACTGCACTTCCTTCCAAGCAAGCAGACGTTCTCATCCCCTAGGCCACTCATGCTTGCATCGATGCTCTATTGTTCAAGCATACGAGGATCGCCAGATGTTGCCGTGCTAGCACCCGACTATTTCACCGTCCTATGCAGTGCTATCTCACAACTCTGCATCCCCGATAGCGAAATCGGTCAGCCACCAGACGATCCCGCATCAGCGGAGGAATGGGCTTTTCAGACCGTTCTTGGTATCATACTGGCCGGTCTCCTTCGGGAAGCCGTAGTCAAGGAGACGGGGCTCTGGATCTCAGTTGCATATCGGCTGATACTGGAACACTGCCCCTCTAACGTCGACGAGAGGTCCCGTGAGTGGCGGCGTCTGTTCTCTGGTCTACAGGTACGATTCTCCCATCATCGCAAGCATTCACTATCCCTGCTAACCTCAGGCTAGATCGTGGATCTCGAGCACGCCTCGATCCACCTCTCGTGCCCTGTCATCCCCATCGAGGCGCCGCTATCTCGGCTCAAGATCGCCATGCAAGATCAGCTGTACCGCCTGTCTAGGATGATGCATACGGGCCTGACGCACTTCACTGGGCGGGGCTTACCGACTATCTGGTCATGCTTTGCTGGCGAGCCTAGCGCAACGCCTGATGCAACCGTCTCGTTCAGCGGTGTCGATGGGGCGGTGATCCGCGATTGGGCACGTCAGCTAGACGACTGGCTCGTCGAGTTCAGCGATAGGGAATTCGAGTCGGAGCATGAGAAGAAGCTCGTCTTTAGGCAGTACATTCTTCACCGTCTGCTGGTTTTGTCCATCTATCACCCTGCGAGGGGGTGCAACTTGTTTTCCAACACCACACCGAAAGAACAACATGAGCTTCTGGTGTCGGCACGGGCGGCTGTCAAGCTACAAATTCTTGACTCGGCTATTTGGTCCAACTGGGACCTGGTGATGATCACTTGGGCATGTCTTATCGTGCTCCAGGGTGTGGATGGTGGTGTGGGAGAACCCGATGGTAAGTTGTCTGCAGCCTGTTCATTGAATCCTCAACTAAAGGTTACGACGCAGATCTGGAAAACGTTGGGGTTCACCTACAGAAGTTGAAAGAAATGCACGAGCCAAAACCAAGTCTCAGAGGCATCTTAGCCACACGGCTTGAAGAAAAGCTTCAAGGGCTGCACACCCCTGCTTCGGGTGATGCAGAGATGTTCGAGCAGGAAATACAGAACCTGGACAACTCTTGGTACATCTTCGACCAAGCAAGTCTGCAGGCAGGTTACGAATTATGGTCATACGAAAACCAAGGAGGCTAGCCTTCACTTTTGGAACATCCAATAACAGAAAGTTTCCATGCTTTATACTTTCTCGACGTGACATTTGTAATCCATGAAATCTATTGCCATAACCCTTTACCGTACCAAAACCCATTCTTCGTCAAATTTCAAGCCCCTTTCTGTACAGATCTTCAGATAACGGGCCAAGGTGAGATGCGAGAAGACATGCTGTCTGGTGTCAACTCAACCAGGTGATCGTCGTCCAAGAACGGCTTCGTGTCTGCTGGCGTTTGAGGGGGGCTGGCAAGTGACACTGTCCTGAGTCTCAGGGGCAGCTTCTGCTCGAATCCCTTGCCAAGTCCAACCTTCTCAATGCTCTTGAAATACTTGACTGTCTTGACCTGAAGCTCTAATGTCGCGTCTTCGTCTGCAACAATCATGGAGTAGGGGTGCAGTTGTAGGCATGACAGAGTCCACATGTGGTTGACGCCGCCCTCGATTGCCTTTTGCAGAGCAATGGACTTGGATGCACCATTGACGATGATGACAACCTCCCTGGCCTATTTGAAACATTGTTAGTCGGCTCGATCTATGTTGATATGTTTCAGTGGGAACACACCTCCATGACAGTTTGAACGCCAACAGTCAAGGCCATCTGAGGAACCTTCTGCAAGTCTCCGCCAAAGAACCGGGCATTAGCCCGGATCGTATCCATGGCTAGTGTCTTCACTCTTGTTCTCGAAGCAAGACTTGATCCTGGCTCGTTGAAGGCGATGTGACCATCGGGACCAACCCCGCCGAGAAATAGATCAATGCCGCCAGCAGCCTTGATCTTGTCTTCGTAGGCAGCACACTCGGCGTCCAAGTCTGGTGCGTTACCATTCAAGATGTGCACGTTTTCGGGCTTAATGTCAACATGGGAGAAGAAGTGACGGAACATGAAGCTGTGGTATGATTCGGGATGGGATTGGGGAAGCCCAACGTATTCGTCCTACGTCTAGTTTAGAACTTGTTCCTTGCCAGCAGGGACGCGCTTATTTTGGCTTACCATGTTGAATGTGATGACATTCTCGAACGAGATACGACCGGCCTTGTATTCTGTGACAAGGATCTCATAGATCTGGATGGGGCTACTTCCGGTTGGCAGTCCCAATACGAAAGGCTTCTCGGGTGTTGGGTCGAAGGTTCTGATACGATCTTTTTGGTATTAGTCCGAGGCCGGTGATACCACATTGCTTTTCAAGCTAAATGACGTACCCAAGATGTAATGGGCAACATGCGCAGATGCAGATCTGCTATCGGGTCTGATGATGAGTCTCATGGTGTAGAAGTATCGGTGATTTTGTTAAGACTTGTTCGTGTCGTTTAGCAGTCGTAATGAACAATTTAGGTATCAGTCGAAAGGTGGAAAGAATGATGATCAGGAGGCAAAGTCTAAAGGCAGTCAAGTTCCAGGTGGTTGACCCTTCTGTATCAGATACTCTTGGGGACTTCAGGTGCTATTGAATCTTCAACACCAAGTGTAAGTGTCAGAGATACTTCGGCAATTTCTCCCGGTGCCGGCATTACGTTTCCGACATCACCGGTAGCTCATTTCAAAGAGACCCGTTAGAGCCCCCACGCGGCTAAAACCCAAAGATCGGAATAGAAGGCAAATGCGGCCAGGAAGTGTCCCGAAGATCTGGGACCCTCTGGGTCACTAGACAGCGTGACATGCCTTCCGTAGAGCCGGTGCTGTGTGGGCCTGTGGGGGAAGGGCTCGTTACATGCATCACGAGTACACGCACGACATATTGCGCATTCATTCGCTTGGAAAGATTGGTTTTGGTCTAAGCTAATTACAATGATCCATGCAATGTGGCTGCCAGTACCACCCTCCTACAAAGAGTCTGCAACTCGGGGCTCTGCTTCCCTGCCACCTTTTGCTAATTACCGAAAATCTCATTAAATGGCGTGGAGATCGTTGCAATAACTCGAAATCTCTCGTGCACAATCAAAATCGTCTAAACGTTCCGTAGTTCACTCCTCCTTGGCCTGAAGCATCTTCTCGCTGTACTTCGACCCAGCCTTGAACCACCATGCGCCAACGAGAACAGTCAAGCCACCGACGACAACGCAAGTGTAGTTCATGTTGGCGGGCTCAACAGGCATGACATACGGGAACGAGAAAAACACGATGGCAAAAGTAAGCCAGCACACCGTGATAGTGTTGATGATGGGTCCCCAGGTAGCTCCCATGTGGAATACTCCACGGTGCATGTTCTTTCTTCTCGTGAGCAAGTTGGTCAAGATTGGAAACATGTAGGAAATGTTGTTGATGGTGACCGCGGTACCCAGCAGGGAGTTGAAAGCCGTCGATGAACCGAGGTAAAGGCATCCCAGGGCGGCGACGATGGCAGTCACGGCCAGCTGGGAGTTCAAGGGGATTTGCCACTTGGGGTGGACTCTTGACCAACTATGGATTCAGTCAGCACAACTGCTCAGAGCTTTATGATGAGAATCCGCTTACAGTCTTGAGAAGGGCATCGCTCCATCACGGGAGAAGGCCCAGAAAACACGGCCAGTGCTCAGCTGAGAGCTGACGACGCAGGGGCCGAGAGCAACGAAGAGGATGAAAGTCAGGCCAAAGGCTCCACCGGCACCCTGAGTGACCTGGCGGAACAGCTCTGCAAGGGGAAGACCAGTGTTGGTAGTGGAGAGAGCATCGAAGTCCTGCACGGAGAACATGAGGGTGATCAGGTAGGTGATACCCGTGACAAACGCAATTCCAAGAGTGATGGCGATGGCCAGGGGCGCATTTCGGGAAGGCTTCGGGAATCGTCAGCATGCAAGCAAATTGAGTAAGATTTTCAGTGATACTCACGTTAGGCATCTCCTCCGTGATGTGCGTCACACCATCAAGACCGCCAAGACTGTACAAGGGGTTGACCAAACCCGTGATGAAGCAAATCACCTGGTTCTCCCAGCCAGTGTTGTTGATCCAGGTCTTGAACACAAACTCGGCGTTGCGATGGGTCGGCGCGCATGCAGCAACTGTAACCATGACCACGAACCAGCCAATCTGCAGATAAAACAGGGAAAACTTGTTCAGGCCAGGAATGATCTTGTTGCCGAACATGACAATACCGGCGGTGATAAGGTTCAGGCCCTGGTAGACGATGAAAGTCTGCCAGGCCTGGATCTCAAGAGTCTCGTGGTAAAGCGCGATCAGCGCCATGAGAACTTGAGCGTAGATTAAGTTCGTCGATGCGGTTGTGAAAATCCCTGAACGTAAGACTCGGATTAGCAAACATCATGGCGTCTCAGGGGTGGTTGGAACTTACAGCCAAGCACACTGAACCATCCGGTGAAGAAACTCAAGACGCCCGTCATCCTCCTAGGCGCTACAGCAGCAATCCAATGATACATGCCACCCTCAGTAGGGTACGATGATACGAATTCCGCCAGCGACGCGCCCAAGAAACATTGCAGCAGCGTTACGAGAATGAAGCCGTAGATAACGGCACCGGGTCCACCAGCATTGATCTCCGTGATGAGGCCCAGGCCCAGACCCGTCCAGGAGATGGTTGTTGTTGACGCGAGGCCGATGAGACTGAGGGTGCTGAAATGGCGCTTCAATTCCTGCGTATGGCCTGGACCAAATGGTCAGAATTGGGTGCTGTCAATTCAAGGGGCATGCGACTTACCCATCTGCGCCAGACGCATCTCGTCGGCGTCGAGATGCTTCTCTCCAGAACCGTCCATGCTCTTCTTAGAGCTCGACGAGATGTCGATCGGTCCCTTTGATTCGGCCATGTTGAGTTTCGCGGATTGATGTTGACGATAATCCACTCAATTGTACGTGATCGCGTGCCATCTCCAGCTTCATCGCGCGAGTGGGCGCTGAAAGAAACATATATCCATCGCGAATCACGGAAAAAGCCCCGATCCGGCGTTCTGGCCCTCCGCTCCCGTTGTCGAAATCCACAATTGATAGCGGTCATAAGACGAACATTAGTTCCTCAGCTCATGGACCCTAGTTGAGGCGACAAAAAGGCGGATGTTTGCCGCTTTCCGATTGCTACGGGGCCCGATAAAACTACGGGGAAAACACACACCCGCGAAAAGAAACAGATACGATAAAAGCCGCGGTTGATAGAGAGGGCAGATAGACCCGGTGAAGTCCGGCCCGGAGCAGGGTATCCGTCTATCGGACCCTGCGTGAAGTGGCTTGATTAATCTAGCTACGAGCGCCGGGCGCGACTGGCTACAAAGTGGTGTGGCTGATCCCTTATATAAAGGTGGGATTTAGGCTAGGTTTTAGGCCTTAAGCTTAGGCCTAGCTAACTACTATCTTACACCCCCCTTTTAGCTAATACCTCTAGTGCTATAATTAAAGTTATTCCTATCTTAAAGTAGTAATCTAATTAATTATATATTAGTTTTATATTATTCTTATTTCTATATATTATTCCTATCTTTCTATATTATTATTATTATCCTATCTTAACTCTAAAATACTTCTTAACCTCCTCTAGTTTTTATATAGCTAATTAATATTAGTATTACTACTTAAGTTATCTCTATAAAGATAATTAAATAGCTACTTAGTGTAGTTAGTATTACCCTCTACTTTTAATACTTAATTAGACCTCTAAATTAGTAATTTAGAGGTTTACTATTTAATTCCCCTTTATAAAGTTAGCTTTTAACTTAGATAAATCTAAAAACTATCCTCTTTAGTTTAATCTTAGATCTTATATTTTAAGTAACTCTCTCTCTCTAAAAGTAGTAATCTTTAGGTTATTAATTAGCTTTATAATATTTCTCTTCTAATTTACTAATTATATTAAGTTAAGTATTAAATATAATAGTTCTTAATTAATATTACTTTAAAGATTAATCTTTTTATAATACTTTTAAAGCTTAGTTAATTAATTTTTTACTTTTTTAAATTTTAAACTTATATTAATTTTATCTAAATCTAAAGTTAATTAACTTTTATTAGTTAAACTTAGTATAATTATAACTTAGAGAAATACTAATTAAGATATCTAATTTAGTAATAAATTTATAACTTAGTGAAGTTAAAGTCTTTAATTACTTTTTAAGCTTTTATTATTAAATAACTTCTTATATAGAAGATTTTTATAGTTAGCGATTTAACTGTTAAATAGAGTGAATTAAGGTGATTAAAATAATATAAAGTCTAACTATAAAAGTTAATTAGTTAGTAAGATATAAGGGAATAAAGTTATTATATATAAAAGAAATAAATAAATAGAAGAGACTTAATTAAGATTAAGTCTTAAGATATTATCCTTAGATTAAGACTTATTATTAGTTATAAGTAGTTTAGATAAATTTAATATTCTAATAAAGTTATAATATTTCTCTACTATTAGTAGTTTAGTGAAGCTATTAGTAACTATCTTATAAGTTAAGATATAATTAATCTTAAAATCCTTATTATTAATATTATTAATAATTTAGTAATACTTAATTTTAATATAGTGCAGTTTAGGCGACTATTTACTTAATAGATAATTATTAAGGGTATTTATAGAATCTATATATACTTAGAGGGGTAATTAAATAGAGATATTTATCTTTTTAAAGAGATCTATAATATATAATAAAGCCTTCCTTCTAAGTATTAGATTTATTTACTTAGCTTTATAGGTTAATATAGCTATAAATAATTATAGTGCTAATTTCTAGGTAATTAATGCTCCTCTATATATAACTATATAACTAGCTGTTAACTTACTTATTCTTTTGTAATTAGATTAGCTAGCGTTATAGAATACTGATAATTTAAGGTTATTAATAGAGTATCTTAGACTACTAAAGTAGAGTGCTAGTTATTATAAGCTATAGAGATATCTCTATATTAATCTTAGTAGTTTATTATACTTTTTAGAAGTATATTATTAATCTTTAGTAACCTTACTTATAGGTATTATGATATCTAGTTATATACTATTTGTAATCTACTATAACTTACCTAAATTGCTTTAATATTTATATATCTTAGTAAGCGTTTTATATTATTCTATAATCTCTAGTAGCTAAGTATTACTAAGGTAGTAGGACACTTAGTTATATCTAGTAATACCCTTCTCTATTAGTATATTATTAATATATTTAGCTTATAAAATCTAAAGTTATCTTATTTTATAGTAGTAAATAATCTTAAACTTAAGGAATTATTATACCTCACTTAAATCCTTAATCTAGAAGAAGTTATATAAGTTATCTTTAAAGTTATTAACTTACTTAATATTAAGTGCTATAATAAGTATATTATTAATATAAAGTAATACTATAATACTATCCTTA